TAACAAACAAACATTCGTTCGTATACATGGGAAAACAGGGCTTTTTTAATGGTTTTCCGGCAATTATAATTTTTTTTCGCTGTAAAAACCATCTTTGAGTCTCAGCGAACATTTAGAAAAAAGAGTTGGCCAAATTGGTCCAGGCGTTGTTGAATTTTGCGCTTACGAACACATTTTGTGACTCATTTTTATATATAATATAATTGCAAAATTTTAGATGTCGCCAATACCTATCCTGAAGTCTTTATATTATATTTGAATTCAATAAATTCCATTCACTCACTCACTCACACAAAAGCATATTACAATAAGCCGAATGTTTCATCATCGACCAATTTTTTCATTCCTTCTATAATTTCGAAAATCCATCGCTGTGTTATAGTAGTTGTAGATAAGCACCACTATGTTATTACGTTGTTATAGTTCGAGACCTGAATCCACCAAAATCAAAAATAACCATTAACCTTTCTGATAGGGAATGGCAAACGTCTATATGCAAGCTTACCATGGAAAAATACTTTTATAATCCCTATCTTTTAACAGATACTTAAAATCCGCTCTTGTTTAGAGTCAACTGTATACACCAAATGTGGATCGCTACGCACATTGAATGCTTTTCCGAAAATTTATATTAACTGTTTCGAGGATTACAACACACCAAAGGGAATTTCGTTGAGTTTTTGAACAATAAATTAAGAATTTGAAATTATGAACGCAGTTGTTTTTTTTTTTTTTTTTTTTTTTTTTTTTTTTTTTTTTTTTTTTTTTTTTTTTTTTTTTTTTTTTTTTTTTTTTTGTTTTGTTACAGTAGTATACCTTTAAACCTGTTATATATTTTCGCAGTACCAAAAACTATAAATTGCATATTCTATAAGTGCATACAGTCACTAGATAGAGTTCGTTGACAGTTTCTGGTAGCTCAAAATCATTATAATAACTTGCGGTGGAATAGAACGGGATGTCAACTGTAGGGGAAACAAAACAAATGTCATGTTTTGAGGACCGTAATCTCGAAGGTGAACTCAGATCAGTATGAAGTATCCGCATGCATAAAGTCGACGCTATTGCATGAAATTAAAACCTGGCAAATCTCGAACTCCTTCACTCAATAACATCAAGCAATTACCAAGAACACACGAATCGCCGAAAATTCAGTTCCAAAACTGTAAATAAGCAACTGCTATGCAGATTAACGAAGAAAGAACCAATTACAGCGCAGAAAATGGTGACTTAGAAAGACCTCAAACAGCATCACGTGTATGTTGCTTGACTAGAACTCACAAGCAGGCTGAGGTCGCGGCCGAAAACCAGCAACATGAAGAATATCGACATTGACCAATTTAGTCGATGTCAGCATCACCTGAGCTGCAGTGAATGCTTATCAAGAAAAAAAATAAATAGATTATTTAGAAATTTCCCTTTACTTAAAAACTCACATAAAAATTTACATTTTCAAATTGATGTTCAAAACTCGCCTGTCGCTTCAATTCCTTCATTCGAAACGTTAAGTACTCACCAGGCCAGCCAACATTTGTTGCTTAACTGCAACTTATTCAATTCGGAAAGCTCATCCATTTTCGTTTAGTTTGTCAAGTGAAGTATTCAATTTGACGGCTTTGAAGCTGTTGATGTTGATCGATGCGTATTGATGACGGCAATAAACACACACACACACACACCCTTATACGCAAAACACGGAAATTCGTCAAAGTAGTGCTACATAGTTTTGGGCAAGCAACTAAAACTGAATGGAAATAAATGTTGCAACCCAACAAYATAACAAATATCAAATAAATATATATGTATGTATTTTTAAAATATAAACGCAAAGCTGTGCGATGAAAAATTTGGCAAGAATTGCCGAACGCGCTCACGAGACAACAAATGAAATGCAATTTCTCTTCATTGTCTCAAATACATAGTATCAGCCATTTGGGCCACTGGTGACAACGCCAAAAACAATGGGGCATTTTATTCTTTTATTYGGATAAAAAGAAAGCAATAGTATTGAATTATTCGTTTTCTTCAATTTTTTTTATGCTCTCGCAACAGCTACCTAACATACTACATACATAGTTACAAGTAACTTTTACCAAAACTTCTATTTGTTGTCAAGTAACGAGAGGCCGCACTTGTGGTCTTTAATCTTTTAATAAGTGAGTATAATAAGTTTAAGTTTTGAAATCAATTGAAAAGTACACCACCTGTAATAGTAAAACACTTTTTTTTGGCACCATTCGTCTTTTATTTTATTCAATATAGCTCCGTTTAATGGTGATACACTTATTATAGCCACCCTCCAACTTTTCAATACGATTTTATGATTAATCCTCAGTTTCGGCAATCATCTCTTCATTCRGCGAAAATTTCTTCCCAGGAAACTGGAAGTTATATCTGAGAACAGGAAATAGTCACTGGGTGCTAGATCTGGAGAATACGGTGAATGCGGAAGCAATTCAGACGCCATAACCTTGTCGGCCAACTGTTGCGTCTTTCCGCGCTTTTGAGCGGGTTCATCGTGTGCAGTGGACTTAGTGGACTCTTGATTGGTCAATCAAAATTATTTTGTGAACACAACCTCATTTGGGCGTCCATTGTGTCCACCGTCTTCGGTGGACTTAGCATACTAAACCTCGATGCTTGATTTTCCTGGGGAGTGTTCGAAAACTCGTTATAAAGTCAAGTCTTTGCTTCAACTGTATTTTTTCTCTTCAGAAAGCTAAATTTACCCACACGAAAATTAATTTTTTCACAAAAATGCTTCACTCACAATGATATAATGAACAAAGTAATGATCGGGCAACTGTGACATTTATAAACGCGCCTTTGAAGTTTGGATAAGATCAGATAAGTACATATGTATGTACTTGTAAGGTCTCAGCTATATTTTCTTCATTGTGTGCTGGATATTGTCTATACGGTGGAAAATTTTCCAATAATGAATGCTGGGTCTCAAGACATCATCTCTCTTGAATGCGAATAGTACGCTGATTATGATGAACGCGAATTTTCGTTCAGACCTTTCAGGATGATCTGCCAAATAATACTAAACGAAAATAACATGACAGCTTGATACGAATCACGCGATCTGTCAAAAAAGACTATTGAAAAAACTTGAATCARCTGTTACATCGTTTTCGATATAAAGAAGATTCGAAATATTCCGGCTTTATTGTTTAGGTGTATCTTACGTTAACGCTGCTATATCCAATATAAATGAAATGAACGTATTCAGTTTAAAAGAGCAATGAAATGACATTATATAAATAATAATAAAGTATGTACCAAGTTTCGAACGGACTGACGGACAAACAGTCAACCGGATTTATCCTATATCTATCGAAATTAGTTTTAGATGATACAAACAACTGTTAGGTGAACAAAACTACAGGGTTTGTCCGGAAAGTAATTGGAATGAATCGATTTAAAAAAAATGTGTTGAACCAATCGTTACAGTTCTTTAAAAACTTTCAAAATAAGCTCCTTCTATGCCGGTGTAGCGCTGCCAGCTTTTTAAAATGGATTTAGTAATTAAGGTTAAATACCACAGGGCATTATGCCAATATAGACCCGACAAAAATTAGTTTTAGTAATACATGAGCTTATAAGTTCTTTAGATCTTCGTTTGACAAAACTATAAAAATCATGTAATCATGTATTAACTATAAGACTAAAAGTAAACGACCATAGTAGTTCCTAAGCCAACATATGGTAGTTCAACTCGTTGTTTTATAATTCGGCAGATATGGTCTTATAAAGGAACTTTATAATTTTTAACAGTTAAKAGTTAGTTAATTTACATTTAATGTTAGAATTTAGAATTTTCTCAAGACAACAAATTTGTAATATATTTCAAATAGAGAGGGGTAAACATACATACAAGTGAAATTGAAAGCGTACAAAATACAGCTTGTGCAAGAACTGAAGCCGCTTGACCTTACCATGCCACATCTCTTCGCTCTATGGATTCTTGAAAAGTTCCAAGAAGATCCGACGTTTTCAAACTTTGTTCAGCAATGAGGCGCGATCGGGCTCAATTCGTATGTAAACAAGCTAAATTCAGCAAKACGGCCACCGAGATCGTGTGATATCGATATCAGTCATCGAAAAACAGATAGACCAACTGAGACATAACCGTGAACAACATATGAAAGAGTGAAAGAGATAGCCTTAAAAAAAATAAATACCAGAGAGTATTCTATCAAATGATAATAAACTTCCACCCTTAAAATTTGAATATTCTGTCCTTTTTCTTTAAAAAAAATTAGGGTACCTCGAAATAGATCACCCTTTATAAAGTGTAAGTTCAGAGTAGAGGCTTCCTTCATATGACAACCATCAGAGAGTTTCTACCTTGAGATAATGTTTGTTGTTTGATATTTTATAAAGTCACTATCAAGCCTACTATACGTCGATAGAAATAAAAGTCTAGTAGCAAGTCCAAATCCAACTATATTTACGAAATATCTGAAATAAATTAATACAATAAAACAGTTTCTTAATTTGGTTAAAGAGTATGTTTTTTTTTTTTTACTAAACTGTTCGTTCAAATACTTTATAAATTCTATGCAAACTAAAMATGCCCTCTGTAGTTGTAGCGATCGCCAACGCTTTTGATCTCACGTTTTTACTTATCTTCTGCAAATTGATGAACCATGAAGTAAGCCTACGACAAATTTAAACGCTCTCGTCACGCAAATGACGATTTTGTGCCATAACATACCTTCTGCCGCCAACTTGCAGCATAACGGCATTCCGTTTTCTACCCATTTTATGTGGCATGGCACAGCGTAACTTATCCCAAAAGCGGTCATCTTGCCAAACCAGATATGTGTTCATGTCCAAATATKCCTTCAATTCCTTATCCAACAACTCTCTGTTGACAATTTCCCCGTATTTAATCACAATTTTGCGCGCACGACCTTCATTCAGCGAGCACTGGTGAGCTGTGAGAAACTCGATGCGCGCCACATTCTCGATGAAGTGCGGCGAGAGCCCAATGATCGTACGACGTGACTGTTCCACCGATTCGATAACTTGTTCCGTTATACAAGCGCCAGCCAGCCCATTGCGTTCGTGCGTGCATATACGAAATGATGGTTCGCACTGCTCGAGTTGTGGCAGTAATGTGTGATTGACAAAGTCAAACTCTTGGGGTGCGTAGGAGATGAAAGCATCGAATGTTTTGTGCTTATCCAGCTCAGGCTCATGGATGCAACAGCTTAATATGTTGCGGTTAAATAACCAGACTTTCACTTGGAATTCATATTTAAAGAAGAGCGCGGTAATGAGAAGTAAGCTGATGATGATTAACGCWGCGTTTATGATCAAAGCAATCATATACCGATAACTTTTAATGTTATCCTCAGTTTGGCATAATTCGCTCAAGATTGCTGTTAGGAGAGTAACATTCTGTAGATTATCACAGCATAACTGCTCGACATCGGGTATGCGCTCCGGATGTGCGCGCACGGTGTATAGCAGCTGCTGTGCAGCGCAGTCGCAAAACCAGTCATTACCACTCATATTCAAAAGTGGTAGTGTGGTGCTCTCACAGAAATGTACGCAAAAAATCGGCACTTAATSTTGTTAAGTGATTCTTTCGTAGATCCAAAACCATCAAATTTCTGGGTAGTTCAGAGAGACTTATGTTCGTGATTTTATTG